ATCTGTGTTTTAGCCTACTTGCGAGTAGCAAACTTCAATCCAATTTCAGAACAAACGGATATGCGATGCTTTGTTCCAAATTAGGCGACCTAGTCTATACTTGTTTTACTGTGCGTATCACATAGTAATTCTAGCTATTTAACCGGAATAGGGGAAAGAGAGATAGAAAATGTATCTAGCTCAAACCCTAGAACAAGAGCTCAACAATGGCTGTCTTTTGCTCTCAAAATATCTTCAGTCTCTAACCTAAGTCTCTCCTCATTTCATTGTTTTAACTAAACTTGCAAAACTTACAAGTTAAGCCAAACTAGAGGGCCATCCCTCCATACACGTGTATGGAGGGAAAGTCACTGCAATACAACTGCCTAAAAATATCTCAAAAAGCAACTGCACAGTAACCGGCCAGACAAAAATGCCATCTTGGCCAAAAAGAGTGCCGACCGGCACAAAATAGTGCTGACCGGCAACAAAAAGTGCCGGCCGGCAAACTACATTGCCGGTGGAGGCAAAAAACCTGCCGGTGGCCTCTAGCCACTGCCGGTGGTGGGTGGGGATGGTCTACAAGCCCCACCCTGCCTCTCAAGGGCAAGATGCAAGTGTTTGGTGCAAAACCAGACACTAAACGGTCGAGTTCGGGGATCCTGAGGCAAGGCACGCGAGCCGAGGCCTCCGGGAACTCCAAACAAACACAAACATGGAAGATCACCGTGTGTTCAAACGGTCACGTCCAAGTCTTGAGGACGGTCAAAAATGGGGTGTCTACAGTGTAAGTCTATCCTTTGCATGTTGTTGCATGCTAGCCTTGCGTGTTGTTGCATACTTGGCCTATCGCGTGTTGTCGCATGCTTGAGTTATATTGCATTTGGCATGCATTTTCTTTGTTAAGTTGCTTCGCATTTTTCCATGCTAGTCCCCTCACATGTTGTTGCATGTTTGTCATTAGCATTGTCATTACATGCCTTGCATACTTATTTGTCTAGGTTGCATACCTATCACACATTGCTTGTTTGCATGCTCATATTGCATTGGCTTGCTTCCACACCTAGGTTGCATAGCATTAAGCATGCATTCCTCACCTCTTGACCAACCATGATAGAGGTTGGGACCCCTTTGTGTGTTCTATGCATTGCATTCCATATTGAATTGCATACTTGACCTCTTTGGCCATCATGCATTGGAATGTGCGATTGATGGCCCGAGGGTCGAGAACCATGCTCCTCTAAGTCTCAAACATGCTGAGGAGGGCGGTGGTGCATAAATTGCTTTCAAAATGCATTGCCATGTCTTGTCTGTCCTCTGTTGTAGCAAACCAGTCCTCTGCCGGAATAAATGGCCGGTCGGCAACTTTCAGTGCTGGCCGGCTATAAATACCCAGCCGGTGATCTAATTTTTGGTCGATGACCATAATTCCATGGCCGGTGGTGTTTCCTCTTGGTCGGTGACCTCCCACAGTGATCAGGGAGTGGTTCAGAAACATCCTAGAGACTTGTACAGTTCTCAGAGGTGCAGAGCAGTATAAACAGAGGCAACATGTGACATGGTGGTGGGTTTTCGAGCGGAGCCGAGCGTGCATGCATTCGCCCCTCTCCCCGAGGCTATTTTACTGTTTTCAGTAGCTTAATTGATTTGTTTAATTAATTAAGGATCTGTAATATTTAATTAGCTTGTTAGTTAATTAATTTGTATTATTCATTCGGACCCTCCGAGAGAGGGCAATTTTGTAATAAGCGTGTGTGTGTGTGACGCATGTCTTCCAACCCCCATTTCTTTCTCCCTTTTACTTAACCGCTTATGATGGTTAGTTCTAGGGCATGTTTCAATTGGCATCCTTATGCTATGCATGTTTGCATCATTCATCTGTATTGCATGCACCGGGCTCGGTGCATCATACTAACTACATAGTATTTCAAATTCCAAGTTGAATACGTATATCGAGTTGTTGCATTTCACATGCCATCCTTAGATTAGCCGAGCCTATTCTAGTTGCATTTTGTATGCGATGCATTAGCCATCTTAACATGGACTTGGATCATACATTTGATTACTAACATGTTCCCTGTTTTGGCTCGGAGTACTAGATAAGCGTTTATGCTTTAGCATACTGCATGCGTGTAAGTGTTGCCATGATAGCATGTTTACCATGAGGCTATGTGCTTATGTGATATAACTGCCTGGATGCCCGTGGGTGAAGGTTGGGTTACTTGAATTGAGATAATTCATTAAAATCCGTATTTTAGCCTACTTGCGAGTAGCAAACTTCAAACCATTTCCGAACAAACGGATATGCGATGCTTTGTTCCAAATTAGGCGACCTAGTCTATACTTGTTTTACTGTGCGTATCACATAGTAATTCTAGCTATTTAACCGGAATAGGAACGCATAATGTTTTCAAAACTAGATATCATGCTTAGTACATTCCGATCTTCGGATCGGGCGAGCGGGGGTGCTCATAGCTGACCTTCCCCAATCGTACCCAAGTTCCCGAGCCGAGGCAACTTTGGTGATAACGGACACGTGGCCTTAGGCACGAGTTAGGGTTTCCTAAATTCCCCCAAAATAAAATATTTAGGTGGCGACTCTGTATCTGGCAAAGCAGTCCATGTTTGGCACTTCTTTCTAAACACTACTACAAAAACAGATAAAGGTCACACTTTTTTTGTGTGATGTATGTTATTTAATCACACCTTTTAAGTTTTATTAAAGTGTGATCTTTGGGAGTGTACACTGTTTAAGTGTGCTTAATAACATTTAGATCACACCTTTTAAGTGTGATTAAAAACATTTAGATCACACCTTTTAAGTGTGATCTTTGGAAGTGTGATTAAAAAGGGTCATTTTTAATCACACTTTTTAAGTGTGATTAATAACATTTAGATCACACCTTTTAAGTGTGATCTTTGAAAGTGTGATTAAAAAATGTCATTTTTAATCACTTTTTAAGTGTGATTAATAATATTTAGATCACACCTTTTAAGTGATTAATAACATTTAAAATCTGTAATAAAAAAAGGGTTCGACATATTTAAAAAATAATCAATATTATTTTTATATGCACATTTGAAGAATGTAATACACACTATATACTATATTTTGAATCATAACCACATATTGAATAGAATAACATTATATATTTCATAAATGAAAATTAAATATTCAAAAGTATATACAAAGGAATTAAATAAAAAAAAAATTAATTGTGCTTACATATATTAAAAAATGAAAAAGCTTAAAAAAACGAAGTTCTTTAATTCTTGGACCATATTTTGCATCTCTCCAAAAAATTTCTGACCTGAAAAATAAAAACACAAGTTAATCCAAAAACCGCTGATGCATATGAATAAACTAAAAAGTTAATTCAACAAACCAAAATAGGAACATTAATCATTTCTGCTTGATCTTAATCCTTTTGGAAGTAACTTCCCTGTTAACAATTAGATGCCATAGCAGCTCAGTGTCAATGACATTGTAATTAGGTCACTAATGAGCACAGTATTTAAAAATGATAAATCTCAATGCACCTTGTGTACGATCTTTTTGTGAATGTACATTATTATTATTGTTGAACCATAATTCTAGGTACCCATAAATAAATAAATAAAAACTCAAGAATTTACTCCATTTTTTTTTGTGGAGGAGGGGGGGGGGAGAGTACATACATTGCAATTACTATCACCAGCAGCAACAGGTTTTGGAGAAGCAAAGACTGCATTTATGAAAAAAATTCATCGGAGCTTCTAAATACACTCGCTTATTTTCTCTCTACACTTACTATATGCGTTGTAGATCTTGTATGTTACGAAGAAAAATTTGTGGATATAGGTGTAGAGATGAACATGGCGGGTGTGTGGTGGGTTTAGAAACTCCCAATTGCATCATGTAAAACGAGGATTATGTGTATATATATGTTGTTCTACAGCATTATCCAAATGAAATTGTTTCTTTTGAAGTTGCAACATTTTTTCCATTTTGTTTTCCATAGCATTTAAAACAAGTACTCTGTTTTATGTAAAAAATCATTTACAGCATTGTATGAGAATATCACCAATTATATTTATTTTCGAAAATGGATCCATTCTGTTTTGCAATCATCCAAGTCTGATTGGAGCTTTCTTTGCATTGACACTATACTACTGATGCATTTGGTTCTCTAGATGCCATGAAAATAGAAAATCCATGGTATTTAATAATGCAATAAGAAGCTGAAATATAAAGCTGACCTGTGTGACCCACTGTTCTCTCTGAGTCATATATCTCAAAGTCATTTCTTCCCTGCTCAAACAAACACCCAAGCCCTTCATTTAGTCCTAAAAGAGTACTAAAAAAAAAGTTAATGAAAAAAGGGCAAAATTTACTTTACCCCATATGGTTTACTCCATGTGTTGTTTACGCTCAGATGTTTAAAATAAGCATATAATTTACTTCATGTGTTCTCTCATTGTATAGGTGATTTGCTGATGATTTGTACAACCTGTGGCCCTAGATATGGCATAGTGGGTAAAGAAAACTCTTGAGAAGTTGGGATGAAGATAGATTTGATTTATTGTTATAATTTTTATTTTTGTTGTCATATATAATCATGAATTTGTTAATAATAATGTGAAATTGAAGCTTTGGACTTGAAATGCAATATACCTCAGCTATGTCTTGTAAGATTTGAACGATCCTCAGAGCAGTTGTAGAATCCAGGCCAGATGTTGGTTCATCAAGAAACAAAAGAGAAGGGTTGATTATAATCTCATTGCCAATACAGACACGCTTCCTCTCTCCTTCTGTAACTCCCCGAACAAAAGAGCTACCGATCGTAGTGTCTTGGCACCTGAGCACATTGATATTCCTCATTGATTAGCCCATGAGAACAGGTATGATTCATTTGTGTGGTCTGTTTTTTGCAATATCTGACTTTAGCTAACACATAATTCAAGATAATAGCACAGCAGAGAAATGAGAATTTACCTCTCCAAGCCCAACTCGTCGATTACGTTTATGGCTTGTTTTTCCTTTTCCTGTTTTGTCAATGTCTTTGGAAGTCGTAGGAGTGCTGCATATGTTAATGTTTCCCTCACTGTAAGGTGAGGAAAGAGCACATCGTCTTGAGTCACAAATTCTATCCTGAAATATATTTCATGTTATTCTAATGTGTGATTACCCTTTATTTTCACATCACTTATCTATTTTTATTTTTTTTAATGGTAATGTTCAGGCTATACTTTTATGTGAACATTTAACATTCATACAGGTGAAAAATTATAAAACCAATTTCAATTAGGTAGGTTTTAGAGGAAATCTGTCTTAATCAGGCTAATATGATGAAAGTGGTGGAAAGCGAAGGAAATGGTGGAAAAAAGTTAGAACTATCCTGAGTTTGTTTAGCATAAAAGTGGTGGAAGTTATAAGAAGGTAATTTTTCTATCCATCCCATGGTAGCATGGTAACCAAGCTTTTAATTTCTTACAAAAAACACAGAAAAATACAAGAAAGTTTAAATTTGTTTATAAAATTTTTAAATTTCAATATCTGCGTTTCTGAGTCGTGTCACGTATCCGTGTCCATATCCATGCTTCTTAGGTTTTAACTTTCTTTGCATTAGTTGTAGTGATGATGAATTTCTGTGAATATATATAACAAAGGCCTATGAGAAAACGGTTATTGTGTATACTACTCTTTTTTAATATGCAGCCCAAGTGATAGACATAGCTTGTACAAATTGAAAGTGTTTTATTTTTCTTTATATCCATAAGCACATTACTTACCTTACTCGGACTGCCTATTGTTGTGTATATGCATACCAGTTTTCAAGTCTCATATATGTATATGCATACCAGTTTTCAAGTCTCATATATAGATTTTTTAGTGGCGAAATATTCCTTGTAACCAAAGATAGGAGTTTTTCAGTAAATTTCCTGAGAACCAAACACACATAAATACAGTGCTACTAGCTCTTTCATGTATATCTAGATTGTTACCTGCTCTTTAGGAACTTCGAATATGGCTAGTCATTATAAGTAATTGAACCTCCTGGTGTCGACCCTCTCACCCTGCCACCGAGCAGACTTAGAAGTGTAGTCTTTCCACACCCCGAAGGCCCCATCAATGCCAAAACTTCTCCAGGATTCACCGAACCAGAAATCCCATTAAGTATTTCTTTCTCCACCGTTGATGTCACTCCTTTTATAACCACCTTGTACGTCACGTCCGTAAACTGCAGATTCAGAAGAAAAAAAAGAAAAAAGAAAAAAGAAAAAAGAAAAAAAAAAGTCTCCATTTACAATATTGGCAACAATAATTCCTTGAAATAGGTGTATATATTTAATTGTCACAAAATAGCATAGTAGTATTTGTATGGAGCATGGCTGTGTTTTTAGTTTTTGTCTTTTTTATACAATATACCTGAAAGCTGTCTTAGATGATGGATTTGAAATAATACAATAAAATTCCTCTGTAAATGAGTTAATACAAAAATAAATAAATAAATGAAAAAGTATAGAATTCCTAAACAACATGGTGGTAATTTATTCATGATAGTTGATGAAACTTTTATCACAATAGATAAATGAACTACTAACTAAACACATGGAAATTAAGTAACTTAGTGGCCTATAATTTACCCTGATCATCTATAATATACACACACAGATGTTCCAAAGAAGAAAATAAAGTGCTAATTTCGAACAAAAAACATGTCAAAGTACCCATTACCTACCCTTCTTAAGAGAAGGCCCCATGCTAAACAAGTTAAAAGCTCTATGGTGGGCCTTGAACGGTGACACTGCCAGATATTACGTGGCAACTATCAATACAGAAGCATTAATTATCAACCCACAAACTACTTTGATCTAGTAAGAAAACCCATGCTGAAAAACCTTTCTGTGGAGAGTAACTAGAACACTGGTAACACAATCTCATATAACTTCAAAGCCAGAGGGTTTGTATCTTCAACTGGAGAGTCACCACCAAATTTGGCTTTAGCAGAACTCAGGCATATCAAATGTTTATGAAGGGTTGGATCTTGTTCCTGAAATAGAACAAGTAGAGCAAAGCCCCACAGAAATTGAAATTCTTCTGGGTTCAATTGAACCATGCTGTATCCAGACATGAAGGTATTATTTGAGTTATTCTCAATTGTTTGGGAAGATAGATTCATGTCAAAATGCACAGGAACTGCATCCAGTGCAACTGCCTGTAAGATTACAGGCCAGGCTTCTTCTAAACAAGGCTGCAACTTTATTGAAACCAGAGGTGATTGAATTCCATCAAGGAATGGTTTCCACTGCAAACAGGTCACAGAAAACAAAATAACTATGGACAGAGGAAACAATTACAACATTTCCACATGTTTATGCTTACATTTAAAAGATGGAAGAAGGAAGACACAACGACAATACTAACAGGTTTCACAAATAATAAGCTTACTTTTTGTTTAAGATGCAATTTGAAGCAGACATAACTGTAGTCCCTTAAAATTGAGATCCAGTACTTCCCCAGTACACTTGAACTTTCTGAAAATAATGGTAATTGAGCTAGATACTCATCTGGAACCCCAGCATGTTATTTCCTCAAGAAGGCATATGTATAACATTTGAGAGAGGCATGGGCGGTTAAAAGTCTTATTTTGATCTAGACAACAAAAAAGAATAGTATTAGTAAATATAAAAAATAAAAAAACAACTCACCATCATATGTACATACATAGATATATCAATATAAATGTATATTATACGTGTAAAACTGTGAGCCACATAATATCCTCTTCTGCTCCTTCGATGAACTTGGCTATTGTTGAAAGTTCACTTCAACAAAAAATAGAAAACACGACAGATCCACCAATTGGCCTTCTTAGGGCAAGTTTGGGAAGTTTCAATAATAGTCAAAAAGTCAATAAAAAAGCCAAAAGGCCGAAGAACTATATAAAAAAGTCACAAATTCCCTTTCCACTCTACTTTTTGCACTTTTTTTTTTTTTTAATGTAAAAATTCCAAAAAATCATCCCAAGCATACTAATTTTTTTCACCTCTTATTTTAGCCAAAAATTTACTAAAATAGCCTATATTCCCAAACCAACCCTTAATTTACATTGAATAATTTGGAGCAGATCCACCAATTGGCCTCCTTTATTTCATTGAACAATTTGGAGAATAGTGAAATGATATACCTTGCATGATACCCATTCTGCAAATGATGGATAGTAAAGATCCTCAAAGTTGTTCAGTGGATGTGATATCAATGAAAATATTCTATTAACTGCAATTTGATCTCCACTAATTATTCCATTCGTTAGTATCTGAAATTTTTACAAGATATACCCCATTATTAATATGCAAAATTTAATTAGAATATATCAAAGATATATATTCATTTTTATTTTGAAACCTTTGTAGCCAGCTGCAAGCCTGCCTCCAAAAGAATAGGGCCAGAGGACGTGCCTAATGCAGTGCGGACAACAGATACTAGTTGGGCCTAAAAATGGTATAGAATTAATTTAGTACAAATCTATAAAAGAAAAAAATAACTATGAAAACACATATACATATTTTGTAAAACCATTCCCTGAAGTTGCATTAAATGAGAAACATGTTTCAGCAATGAAAAATTTATATCCTTGAAATGGAAGGAAGAGTGAAGGAAACCTAACGCAAGTTCAATCAGCATACCTGATACTATTCAAGTAGAAGGTGTCCAGGAAGGTCAGGGTCTGGTATCATTTCAAACTGTAATTCACAGAACAGAAGACATAAATGAACTATCAGAGCATTTTTGTAAATTTTGGAATCTCAGCATGGTACCAAGTGAATAGAAAGTAAGAAGACACACTTCAAACAAACAAGCCATAGAATTTATCCCCTCCAAAGAAAAGAGAATAAGAGAAGAGAAGAGAATAAGAAAACCCTTCCCTTTCGAATCGTTGATCGCTGCCGGCGCCGAACCAATCTTGCTGCCGAAGAGATAGCAATGTGCTAGGTCGAAGTCTCACCGCTGCCCAATTAGTCTCCCTTTCTAACCCTTTATCTTCTCCCTCTCTTATTTGCTGAATAGCAGCAGAACCTTTTTTTATTTTTTACTTTATTTTATTTTATTTTTTTAATATTTTTGGTGATTGGCGCTACAACATTTTATTTTGGCGCCTATTTTTTTTTTTGGATTATATACATACGTATGATTGTTTTAATTAAATTTATAAAAAATTATTTTTAACCATTCGAAAGATAAAAATTATATAAAAGTGATAATTATTTTTTATTTTTTATTTCTAAACTAAATTAATTTTTTCATTTTTAATTTTTTTTTTTAAAAAATCAAATTATACATAGCCTAAGAATATTTTGATAAGTCATTTCTTATGTTGGTAACTTATTTAATTATTTGTTAATTTTACGACATTTCTACCATCGTTTTTAGTTTTCAATTTATATTTACAAAAATTTTAAAAACTCTCATAAAAACTTGTTCGATACTTTTTTTTTATTTATAAATGATTGTCTCAGTTTGTAAATTTGAAGAAAAAGTGTAAATTCAAAAAATGAGTTTATGTTGGTTTTTAAATAGAAATTTAAAAATTTTATTAACAAATTTTTTTTCAATTAATTTTTTTTAATTAATTTTCTTTCAATGAATTTTTTTCCAACTGATACTAACCAAGGGGGCAATTGGTAATGCTACTTTAAACCTTAGGGATGCGATTGCAATTTCTAAAATGTGAGGGGTGTCAATGTAATTTACCCAGTGAGGGAAAAATTAGTATTTGAAAAAATTAAATTGTTAAAGGGGAAAATCTGTAATGAAACTTTAAACCTTAGGAGGGAAATGTAATTTCTAAAAGGTGAGAGGGGAACTGTAATAAACATAAATCTCAGAGGGTGTTAGTGTAATTTACCCAAAAAAAATTAATTGGAAAAAAAATTATTTGAAAAAAAAATTTTGCTAGTAAAATTTTTAAATTTCTATTTAAAAACCAACATAAACTTATTTTTTGAATTTATATTTTTTCCTCAAATTTACAAACTGAGACAACCATTTATAAACCAAAAAAATTATCAAATAAGTTTTTATGACAGTTTTTAAAATTTTTGTAAATAGAAATTGAAAACTGAAAATGAAATGGTTAGGCTCTGTTTGGTAACGTTTACGTTTTCAGTTTATATTTACAAAAATTTTATAAACTGGTTTTTGTTTATTTTTTGTTTATTTTTAGAAAAACATAAACTACAAAGGTGTTTGGTAATTGACAAAATGTTTAAAAAAATTTAAAAATATAAAAAGAGTGAGAAATGACAAGTGGCGGCAAGTGACGGCGGAAGACGGTGGTGGAAAGTGGTGACGGTGGGTGGTGGGTAGCTGGTGGTGGTGGCAGGTGGGTGGTGGTGGTTGGTGGGTGGGTGACGGTGGCGGGTGGTGGGTGGTAGTGAGTGAGAGGTGGTGGTGGCGGGTGGTGGGTGGCGGATGGCGGGTGGCGGGTGATGGTGGCGAGTGGTGGATAGTAGTGGCGGGTGGCGGGTGGATGGCAGGTGGGTGGTGTGTGGTGGTGGTGGTGGCAGCGAGGGGTGGGTGGTGGTGACGAGTGGGTGGCAAGTGGGTGATGGTGGCAAGTGGGTGGTGAGTAGTGGTGGCAGGTGGTGGTAGAGGGTGGGTAGTGGTAGCGGAAGACGGTGGTGCAAAATGGTAGCGGGTGGTGGCTAGTGTTGGGAGGTAAAAAAAAAAAAAAAACTCAAAACGGAAAAACATTTTTTTAGTTTACATTTTTTGACCAAATTTATAAACTGAGACCACTGATTTATAAATCAAAAATTTACCACACAAGTTTTTATTTGAGTTTTTTTAATTTTTGTAAATATAAACAGAAAACTGAAAATGTAAGTGTTACCAAATGGCACCTTAGCAAACAGGCTTTAGATGGTAAAAATGTTGTAAAATTAACAAATAATTAAATAAGTTACCAATGTAAGAAATGGCTTATCAAAAGATTCTTAGGCCATATATGGTTTGATTTTTAGAAAAAAATTTAAAAAATTAAAAATAAATTTGGTTAAGAAATAAAAACTAAAAAATAATTATCATTTAAGGGTAAAAAATAATTGTCATTTTAACATTTGGGCAGGTTATATACATACGTATGACTGTTTCAATTTAATTTGTAAAAAATTATTTCTAACCACTTGAAAAATAAAAATTATATAAAAATGATAATTATTTTTTATTTCTTAACCAAATTAATTTTGGATTTTTAATTTTTTTTTCTAAAAATCAAACCATATATAGCCTAAGAATCTTTTGATAAGTCATTTCTTATGTTGGTAACTTATTTAATTATTTATTAATTTTACAACATTTTTACCATCTGAAGCCTGTTTGGTAACCATTTTGTTTTCAGTTTTCAATTTATATTTACAAAAATTTTAAAAATTGTCATAAAAACTTATTTGATAATTTTTTTGATTTCTCAGTTTGTAAATTTGAGAAAAAAATGTAAATTCAAAAAATAAGTTTATGTTGGTTTTTAAACAGAAACTTAAAAATTTTACTAATATTTTTTTTTTCAAATAATTTTTTTCCAATTAATTTTTTTTTCCAACTAATACTAACCGAGGAGGCAATTGGTAATGCTATTTTAAACCTTAGGGAGAGGATTGTAATTTTTAAAATGTAAGGGGTGTCAATGTTATTTACCCAGTAAGGGCAAAATTAGTATTTAAAAAAATTAAATTGCTAAGGGGGAAATCTGTAATGAAACTTTAAATCTTAGGGAGGGAGATGTAATTTCCAAAATGTAAAGGGGGAACTGTAATAAACATAAACCTTAGGGGGTGTCAGTGTAATTTACCATATATATATATAATCACACTTAATTAGAAAGTGACATAAAAAATAAATATTATCACACTCAATCAGATTAAGTGTGATTAAAAATTTGGGAATTGTATATTTTATATAAAAATCAATTTGAAATATTTTATACAATCACACCTATTTAGGAAGTGTGATTAAATATATATATATATATATATATATAATCACACTTA